ACTAAACTTACAAATAAAACATAAAGTTATAAGGACTTTAAAATACTTAATTATGACAATGAAAAAATCTCATCAATTGTCAACAAAAAGGTTGTCCAATTAATCCAATGACAATGATCTTCTTATATAAGTATTAATTTTATTAGGAATTCCATGTTTTGCATTGTAATAAAGATGTGCATGGATGCGAGAACCAAGTGTGCCAAGGTGTTGGAGAGAAAGATACACACTAGAAGGGGATTGAATAATGTATATAAAAAAGTCGTGCTTTTATAGTGAGGTAGTGAGAAACGTAAACAGATGAAGTACTTGAAGGTAATCAGATGAATTAGTATATTGAGTTCCACTATCCTCTATCTTCAACAAGATAGAGATTACGTCCAGTTCTCAATCTAACCAAATTGAGTTTCACTATCCTCAACAAGATACAAGTATTCTTTAACAAGCCACTTCTGGCTCAAACCAAGTATTCTTTCACCAAGCCTTTATAGGTTCAAATCTAAGTATTCTTTCACCAAGCCTTTCCAGACTCAAATCCAAGTATTTTTTTACCAAGCCTCTCTAGGCTCAACACTAAGTATTTTTGTAAACAAACCTCTCTAGGCTCAACCCTTACAAATACAATTGATAGGAGTTACAAAAAAATAATTTCATCTCTTCTAGACGTGATGCTATACAAATTTGGCACAAGTAGTCTACAAAGAATTCTATACAAGATTTGCTATAAAGATCTTCTTCATAGAGCTTTAGCTTTGTATTTCTCACTGTGTAAGTTTTTCTCTGTTATGATGCTTCTTATTTTCAGCGCTTTCTTTTTGTTTTTGGCTTGCACACTCTTTTTACTTCATATTGTGCTCATCCTTATTCACATTGTGCATTGTCTTCCCTTCTTGTTTTGTTTGAGGGCTTCACCCTTATATAACAACTTCAGAGAAGATAATCATTGTAGCAACGTTCAAAATTTAAATGTTCAAACTTCATTGAGTTGCTTCATCTATATTTCCAATTTTTCTTCAGAGGGTACTATAAATGCATTATTTAATGTAAAATTTAAATGTTGATTAGAGACGCGTGTATCTTCTATCTGATCTAGGCAGCTACTTATTATCTCTTTCTTCTATTTTGAGTGTGGCAGAGTGGTGCCAACATAGAGCAGTCCTTTTTAGTGTCTTGTCTGAGATATCCAAGATTTTCTCTTTCTATCCTGACATAGTGATTTGACATTCTCTTTTTGAAAGCTTTCAATCTCTTTGAGAAACCTTCCTTATTTGATCTATTAAAGAATAAAGTATTAATGTTTTCTTAAAGAATAGTCTGGCTATTTAACAAGAAATAAATATGGCATTGGTTTTAAATCATATGTTTCATTTGGTGTGCTTCATCTTACAAACGAAATATGTCATTACTTCATCTAAAATACTTTCTTTTGAAAAACATTTGGCTTCTTGTTTGTTGCTTATAGAAAGGTATTTAATAAATTTCTAATTTGTTTAGAAAAATATTTGTTATCATAAAAATTTATAACATTTCAAAGGATTCCAAATGAAACTCTAGGCTTCCTTTTGATCTTACACAAGGTTAGTCTTCCTGTACGGTTTAAAAGCTTCCCTCTCCAACCAGCTAATCTTGAATGAATCTTTTCCAAAATGCAATTGAAGTCACGAGTTTTGACCTTTCCAAAAAAACATAGGAAACCCAAGATATTTCTCAACATTTCTAGTTTGTTGAAAGTGAATGATAGAAACAAATTTTGCAATCTTTACATTGGATACAATGTTGGAAACCAAAATTGGATTTTTGAATATTGATTTTCAGCCTTGATGCAAGACCGAAAGTATCCAAAACCTACTTGACCTGTGAAGCCTTAGCCTGGGTGAATAATAAACAATCATTGTCAAAGAGAAGATGTGAAAATGATGCCCCACTTCAAGAAAGACACAGGTAGCCGTAACTTCTCTTGAACTTTCCATTGAATAAGAAGGAAAAGTTTTTCCATACAAAAGACAAATAAATAGGGAGACATGTCTCTTGATGCAATCCTCTCTTTGGCACAAAGTTTTCAAGTTTTTCACCATTCCGTTATTACAAAAATATAGTTGTAGAGGTGGTGCAATTCATAATAAGCTTCGCAATGAATTGAGAAAATCTAAACTTGAAAAAAGAGCGATTTTGAGAAATTTTCAATGAACTCTATTATTGGTTCTGAGAAATCAATTATATAAGACCTTTCTTACTCTTCTTTTTATGCATATGATGAAACATTTCTTAAATAATCATAATGTTGTCAGTACCTCCTTAGAAATGAAGATACTTTAAAAAGGGCCAATCAGAACCAATCCTAAGTACAATCACTATGGAAATAGTCTTTAAGTGCTCATTGTTTTAAACCCATAGAGCTTGGAAACATTAATCTTTTAAGTGAAACCATAATTATATTAGTAAAACGTTATTTTGGAAAAGTTTTACTAGTTTATCTCCTCCTTAAAACTTTTGTTAAATTAGTTTGCTTCTTAACTCATTAAACATAACACTTGAAAGTGTTTTCGTGAGTATGTCTACCAATTATTTTTCAAACCTGTAATATCAATCGAACATCTGTATTCTTCTCAGCTTCTCTTACAACATGAAGCTTGACATTGATATATTTGGTTAATCAATGTTGGATTGAATTTTTAGCAATTGAATTATATAATTTATTGTCACATTGATAGCGTTGTTAAATTATTATAAAATAACAACTAGATTCCTTTAAATTTACAGTATAGGAACAAACTTAAGTTATTTCTCATGCATGAAAGACACAAATCAATTAAATATGAAATTATCAAGCAGCTACAAAGTGGGGAGTCTTAAACAAATTTAAATGAAATTACAAAAGTTACGATGGAATAGTAAAAATCAAGAAATTTCAATCAGAAAAGCATCAATTCAAGTTTTCAATCCTTGCAATGAAATTCTCACAATGCAAAATATAATTTGAATTTAAGCATCATATAAATCAACACTAACGTAATCATTTTCCTTTTTGTTGTTATGCTTCTACATATATTTTTGCAAGTGAGGATTATCTAGATGATGCCAATAATAAAGCTTAATTAGGGTTTGTGTTATGTCAATTGATTAAGCTTTGATAGGATGTAATATCATATTTCTTAAGATTTTATGTTCTCTTGACTTATTATTATGTTAGGATTCATATATATTAGTTATTTAATTTGAAGGTGTAATGGCCTTTTGTTTAGCCACTTGATTCCCTTTTGTATTTCATTTGTGTTTGTTATGTTTTAATATATGTGATATCTTTATCCTTAGAAGTTTTGTGAACTAATTTCATCTTAATTAAATTTTATTTTAGATCATATATTTGAGATTTCTTTTATTACTAACATTATGTATGATCATTATATTCAATCTCAAATAAGAAATTAAGGTTCACTTAAAATGAATTTGGATAGCCATAATAAGTTATTGATAACTAAATATATAATAAAATACAAATAATTTATGTATAATTAAACTTTATAAAATTTTATTCTTTTTATGAGTCAAACTTCATAATTTGTATATTTTGTAATTTCAAGTTTGTTTCTAAATTTTTATTTTTAATCCATATCTTACAAATTTAGTTTAGGATTTGATTCAAACTTTTAATTTAAATCTTAATATTTTAACATTGCATAACTAACATTTTTTTTAATAGCTTTTGTATTATTTTTTTTAAAATTTTTGAATAGATGTAATTGATTTTTTTTTTCCATAAAATTATGTAAAATATTTATTTCAAATTACAAAATTAATGTTACCACGTTACCAGCTTTCTAGAAAGAGAAATATAAGAATATCTTGACTTAAATATGATTTTAGTCTCTCAAATTTAAAATAAATTTATTTTTAATCCCTCAAATTTAAAATTGAATTTTTAGTCCCTGTAATTTCAAAAAATCTTGTGTAGTCATTATACTCAATTTTTTTTAATGAATATGCCAAATACTTGTCGCATAAAATCTACTTACTATCTCTGTTAGTAAAACATAATATTAAATCTAATTAATATTATATAATTGTTTCAATTTGTTACTTTCAAATATATTATTGATAACTTGAAAGGTTAAAAGAAATTTTTTGAAAATTACATGGAATAATAAAAATAATTTTAAATTTGAAGGATAAAAAATAAATTTACTCTAAATTTACAAGAGTAAAAACATATTTAACTCAAATATTTTTTTTGCACCGGTGTACGTAGTAGTATATTTGTATTATAGTTACTTAAAGAAACATTAATATTAAATTTACCATATATTTGTGTACTTCCGGGATTTGTTTCATTCCTAGTTCTATGGTATGTATCACCTATGAAGGTTAGAATAATGCACTATGTTAAAAAAAATTGGTCCTAAACTGTTATATTTCTCTGTAATTGAAATACAGCAAAAATTACCATGCTTACAGTGAGTAGTGAAGTTGAATCCTATATTAAAAGTGTAGTTCTTTTCGATATGATAAATTTATTAAATAATATAAACTGTTTGTGCACCACATTAAATATGTGTGATCAACTTTAAGGACTGAATCCTACTAAACTTTCTTTGCCTGCACTGCTTACTTTGCTGGTCTCTGCACATCACCATATAAGAAATGAGCAGCTCTTCTGTTAATCTCTTAAATAATAATTTAGATTATAGTATTTGTCGGTTTTTTATATTTGTTTCCTCAGCATGTTTGGTTGATATGCATACACATTTCTCCTCGGCTACATTACATGTCCTATAAATTAATTGAATGATCATCCACTTCCCTTGAATTTGAAATGATTAAGAATGTTGAAACATTTCTGATGTGCTAGATTGTAAATGGCACCGCCGAAGACGATTAAAATAAGATGGTAATCATAATAAAAACGTTGTTAGATAGGGATGATATTCCTTCAAGCATGAATATGGACATTCCAAAATCTGAATCAGAAACATGAATTCGAAGAGAAGGCCAACAGTTGAACGTGAAGCAAATGATGGATTGGATTTCCATCAGAAGAATTTTGAAGGAGAAATTTTTAAGATGGGTTCACACAAAATTATTTGAATAGTTCCAACAAATTATCAATTTTTTTTCATTATCAGTTTGTAATGGCAGCAGTAGAAGGTAAATTAGAGAAACTCACGTAGAAACACACGGAACGATGCAGTTTTTTTATTTTTCTAGGGTGAGTATCAGGAACCATAATCCATAAACTAGTAACAAAGAGTACTCAGGAAAAAGAAGAGTCATTCAGGCCAACACAAACTTCCATCAACCCTGACTAAAATATTCATTTTCCTTCTGCAGTGCACGTTTCTTTCTGGTTGGTCTCACTCTCAGTGCTCCACAGTGATTTCTTGCAAGTTGCAACGAAAAAGGTTCTTAACAAAGTTGTCATTGACTATGGATGCATTAGAGAATCTTCAGTTCTATGAAAATCAACAAACATGCAAAGTTTCTTTCAGCAGTAAATAGGTAATAACAAATTTGTAAGTTACAGCTTTTTCTTGTATTGTGGTTATGTTACCTGGAAAGGACGAGAAGTGGCAGGCATCAAATATAGGTCATCTCTTCTACTAACAGTAACTCCGAATTCCTCGGTCATGTCCAATTCCTTACTTTTCATTCCATTTGGAAGCTTCCAATCAAAGTGATACAACAAATATGCAAGGGCCAACTCAACATTTATTAAACCAAAGTTGCTTCCAGGGCATATTCTTCTTCCAGCACCAAATGGAATGTACTCAAAATTATTCCCTTTGTAGTCAATAGAGCTATCAATGAATCTCTCTGGATAAAATCTCTCTGCTTCTGTCCAATAGTTTGGATCTCTTGCTATTGCCCAAGCATTCACAATTACCTTGCTTTTAACTGGTATATGATATCCATGAATCTCACTTGATTCTCCACATTCTCTTGGAAGTAAAAGAGGAGCTGGGGGGTGTAACCTTAGTGTCTCCATGACAACTGATTTCAAATATTTGAGTTCATTGATGCAAATTTCATCAACCCTTTCTTTCAAGCCAAATACCTCTCTAACCTCAACTTGTGCTTTCTCCATTATTGTTGGATCCCTTATCATCTCCGCCATTGCCCAATTTATGGTAGTTGCTGCTGTCTCACCTCCAGCAGCAAAGATGTCCTACAAAGTAATTGTCAGTGCTTTTAAGCTAATGCAAAAATATGCAAAGAGATAGTTGTCGATTTTTTTTTTCTAAAGTGAGGAGCGTACTTTATAGTATAAACTATAAAGTTCAGTTGCAAATATAGATTGGAAGAGCAACTGTTTAGAATTAGATTGTGAAAAATTACATACACACGAAGAACAGACTATGGAGTTATAACTTTTCTTTAATCCTCTAAGATGGACCCTCACTTTTGAGAAGTTGAATTCAAAAGGTGTATGGCATGCAAAAGGCATCAATTCAAACAATACAACAGCGAATTTACCGAAAACTGCATAATTTTGAAGAGCTTGTGAGTGAGATGTATTAAACAAACAGCGAGATATTCTTAAAAAAGGAAAGGATTTGCAGGATGTTATTATCCTTACCAGGATTATAGCCTTGATATTACTAACAGTTAAACAAATGTCCTGGTTACTATCATTACAATCCTCGAATTTTAGGAGTACATCAACCAAATCTTCTTCTACTTCACCATTGCCTTCTTTGGTGCCCTTTGACTTTGCCTCTTTATGTTCACGGATGATGTCTCCTAGTATCCGATCCATTTTCCGATGCAGCCTTTCAAGCTTAGGCCTCAGACCAGTAATAAGTTGAAGCCATTTAGCAGAAGGAAACAAATCACCTATGCTAAACCCTGCTACTGCTACTTGTGCTTCTTTTAACAGTAATATGAATTCATCTCTGTCTTTGCATTCTGTGCCAAATGCAGCTCTTGAAATGATATTATATACTGACGAAAGTACTGCTTCAGTGAGGTTGATGGTCGACCCTTCATGTGCACTAACCACTTTAACCAAATTGGTGAGCTCTTCTTCTCTTATTGTTCGGAATGAGTTTACACGCTTTTGGGTGAAAAGCTCTACCGTGCATATTTTTCGTAACTGTCTCCAATAATACCCATAAGGTGAAAAAGTAATACTTGTGGATTCATAGGACAATATTTCTGAAGCTAGAATTTTAGGCCTAGATGCAAAGATGACATCATGGGTTTTCATTATCTCCTTGGCATATTCTGGTGAGGAAACAATGATTGCGAAGACCTCTCCTAGTTGCAGATGCATCAAGGGTCCATATATTTTGGCCAAGTCTCTTAATTTACGGTGTGGTGGTGTAGATGTAACAAGATGGAGTATGTTTCCTATGATGGGTAGTTTCCATGGTCCTGGGGGTATATTTGGAGATGACCCAGTTTTCTTGAGATTCCTTCCTAGTTTCAGTACCACAATCAATAAGGTGAAAAAGGGCAAGATAAGGTAGAGTATCACAGAGTCCATGGTGACAAGAAGCAAGGGTTTCTGATAAAGATAAGGATTTTGGTTGCAGTTTATTGCTTTGTGGCGGTGTCTGCTGCTGCTGCTAATTTTATTGTAAAGAGTCCTTTGGTTTATTTCATTTTCATAATATGACCCACCTATTGATGTCTTTGAAGAAAAATCCAATAATTTTTCTACCTTATCAAGCATGTTCCCATTTAACTTTTCATAGTTGGGCCAATTTTACTATTTTGGGGAGATCAGTTGGCAGGAGCAAATATGCAACCATTGTGAACCATATAAATAGTTGTACTTCCCTGAATATAACAACATTCAATCAAGTGAAGCAATTCACGAATACGTCAAATTTATCATAATGAATGGTAAGGGATGGGTGTATTTTAAAACAAGGGGACATTTCCTCTTCATTTAAGTTTTATTAATTGCCTTGTTCTATAATTTTATTTTTTTTGTTTATGGAGTATCCACCGTCGATAGTGGTGACTAATCTCCTCGCTACGTTGAAGGCACCTCAAAGAATGAGATAGCTAGCCCTAAGATTTAACGCGGCTGCATACACAAGACAGGATTCCAACCCTTGATCTTGCTTAAACGTGCATCAACCCCTAATGCTGAACCACACGCTTGAATAAAAGAAAAATTCATACGACAATAATTTTACTAAATATAATATCCCATGCATCAGTACGTGGGTATACCGTATGTAAAAGAAATATGATTTAAAATCAACTCTTATACATAAAATATAAATTGTTATCTTGTACAAAAGAATTTTTTTTTTACGATAAAGTTTTTATGAATTTTTTTTAACTTCATAATTAATACGAATTTTATTTATTATAATTATTTGTGAATTAACTTTTAATATTTTCAAAATAAATTATCAATAAATAAAAATAATCTTGTATTACAATATCAATTATTTATCATAACTCTAAAATATAATTTATATATTTAAAAATATTTATTCATTTAAAATTTAAATATAATTTATATATTCAAACATAATATTTATTTATATATATAATTTATTTTAAAATTTATTTATATATATTAAACATTGAACTTATATATTGCATGAACTAAAATACTAGTATAAATAAATATGTTATTTTTTTTTATTGTTTTATGATTTAGATAAATGTTAATAACTTAGTAGCACATTCTAACACTCTTAACATATGCTCTATTTTCGGATAAAACATATTAGAATTAAAAAAAAAAAAGTGTGGTATTACTCTATTTAATGCATTTAAGTATTTAGCTTATAATTTTGACTTTTAATAAATTTGACCAATAAAAAATAGTATGATGGAAAAAGTGTGGCAAAGAGTGGCCATTCCTCTATATATTATAAAAAGTAATTCATTATAAATAACGTTATTTTTAGTATATTATGAAATTTTAGCCTTAAATATGTAATAAACTATATTGAGAGAAACATCTATTTCGTGTGCGTTCATAGTCTTTATTTAGTTACTACTTTCAGTGATGAATATATACTTCATACCAGTATCATAATTTTAAAAAAAATCTTTTATTATATTATGTATATATATTTATTATTAAAATAAATAATATAAATTATAAACATCTTTTAGTGATGTAATGGATAAAATTGAATATATGAAAAGGTAATTAGGAAAACTCCATTAATGGTGTGGTGGCTGGTAGAACTAACTTATAACCTTTTGGTTGAAAACTAATAAGTTATAAGTATTTTTTGATACCTTAAGTTATAAGTTAGGAACTAAAAAGTTAACAAGCTTATAAATTAATTGATTGAATTGAAATCATTTAGTTAAATTAGTTGATTAATGAAAAATGACATAAAAACATTTATTTATGTACCACCCAACATAGTCGGATGTTATCTCGTTTGGCAAGTGTACCAAATCGTATAAGTAGTTCAATGAAAGTATGAGTATCATCTCTCAAGGGACTTGCGCAATACTTTACAATTTCACTTGTTATACTAATTAAGCTACCGGGAAACAATAAGAGTTTGATTTGCTGTAGTAAATAGTGTAAACAAGCAATAACAATTCTTTTTGGTATTTTGGTAAACACTTAGAGTGCAAAACTTGATTCTAATGCAATATTAATAAATTGTTGGGGTTTGACTTCACTAAACCTTCCTCTCATGGTTATCACTAAGCTCACAATAGTTATTATTCAGAATTTATCAATCACTCTCAAAAGTAATCAACCCTAATCTCTTACAAGTTGGCATATAAGTTGCTAACTTAAACTATCAATCTCTTGCATAGTTTAACCGAGAAACCAACTTTAAAAACCAGAGCTTAAGAAAGACCAATGGCATTTACTCTCTCTATCAATAAGCACCATTAGCTGCTCTATTTCAAGTCAAAGGTTTAAAATCATTTATCAATTTTTTAAAAAAATCAAGTTAAAGTTAAGGGTGATCAAGCCATAACAAGCATTATGCACAAAAATAGAGCAATAAAACTGAATAACAACTAACATTGATCACTTAGAGTTTACACATGAGAATGGGTTTAGTTAGACCAAACCCCAACAAGGGTGAAGTTAGCTACACATAAACATGTAGAACTTTACAAATGATGAAGAAAGGAAAGAAGCTTGATCTTGAAGGTTCTAGAGCTCTCCAGCTGCCACACAAACTCCAAGAATGATTCTCCTTACTTCTCTCCTTGAAAATCCCACTTTTAGGTCATAAAAACTTTTGTCTTATGTGAATAATGACATGTCAGCACAATCCACGCTAAGCGTGAGATGCCACGCTAAGCTTGAGGATGGGTCTGGAGTGAAATGAGGTTTTGGGACTCCTACACTCAGGCCCAATTCCACGCCAGTTTGAGGGTTAAATTTTTGGTTAAGTCCCCAAGCTAAGCCTCAGATCCACACTTAGCCTGGGGACTTAACCAAAAATTCCTTCAACTTCGAATTCACCACTTTGTGCTTGACTTCCTTCCTTCTTTCCTAGCTTTCTCCTAAACTACAAAACAACAACCAAATACTTGTGAGTTACTTAAAAACATGATTCAAAGACAAAATGTGATCACCTAACAATTTACATATGTTTTGAGTTAAAAACAAAGTCTAAAGTAAGAAAAATTGATACAAGTGCTTCAAATTAGGCCAACAACTTAATGAAATCATAGCACTTATTATCGGACCAATTACACAAATATATAAGCCAAACAAGATGCAAACTAGCCCATTATCATTGAGTAAGTCCCTAACAAAACACATCCTAAACATATAGGAAATAGTAACTCCGCTTATCAAGGATAATATCTTCACACAATCACCAATTTTTTTTTTGAATACCATACAATATTATCTCCACAAACCATATTTCTAGAATCTTGGATCACATTATCAAGAACAATATATCTCTTCGTCAATAAGAATATCTCCAAAATAAAACATGCAACATTACCTCGAAGCCTAAAGATAAGATCAATCACTTATATATGGGATACTAGATATCATTCTATCCCAATCTCATTCTTAACCTAAACTCCCCTCTAACTTGAGAGTCAAAGTGTCTTTGCAAGTGTCTCCCACTATTAGAGCACCTGCAAATTTCGGTAAGAACATTTGGCACCCATCTAGGACTGAAGCGAAACAATCCTCCAACAACAAACATGGCCTCATGCCAAAATCGAATTATGGAAAACAACTCAGCAAGGACCTCCATGGCAATAAGTGAACCTGGCCTAGTCTTTGACTACTACAACTCTGCCCACAACGTCGAACAATGTCGAATTGCCACTAAACAACCGTAAGAAGGAAGACAACTACCGCTAGTGGCACTGCCATTCCCAAAACTCTTTTTGAGAGGTAAACAATCCACCACTACATAATGAGAATGCTGGCAAAAATTTTGTTGATTGCTTCACCAATGATGGCCTCATCACATCTTCATGCAAGAGACATCTTAAAATTGTCAACAATGTCGCTACCGCGCATGACAAGTCATCAAGAATACTATCCCCATCAATTTCATTAACAATGATTTTCTAGAAATGGATCCAAATCACGATAATCCCATGGTCATCTCAATCGAAATCTCTAATTGGGAAGTGTCAAAAACCTTGGTAGGTTAAGGTAGCTTGCCCGATATCTTGTATTGGAATGCTTTCCTCCTGCCAGATGCAACTATCCCAAAACAATACCAAGTCACACAATAGACCCCTACTAGGATTCACCAACCGAGAAGTTGACACAATAGGGTATTTAGAACTCTTGACCAAGTTGTAAAGTGGAAAACATGCCAATCTCTAAACATCAAATACCTATTAATAGACATAACCACAACACATGACGTCATAATTAGACGAACCACCCCCAATGCTATCGTATCTACAAATCACTTAACAATGAAATTCCCAATGGTTGATGGCAGTATAATTACAGTCCAAGTCGACCAACATCTTGTTGCAAGATAATGCTATGTTGAAAGCCTAAAAGTTACCCCCAAAAAACTGGTCGTCTACGCTTTTATTGGACGAACAACAACATCGAATGTCACACCACCAATTGTGACATCCTTACTACCCCAACACATATATTGTAATAATTTAAATAGACTAAGGAAATAAAATTTTTAAACGTTGGTAAAAGGGTTCACATAAAAACCTTCATAAATATTCTTCAATATCCAAGATAATTGAAAATAAAAAAATAGAAAATGAAACATAAGAGTTTACAAATTGTTTTTACAACTCCAAATCCACATAAAAATCCATGTCCTAGAATTCCTCTGCCTCGATGTCACAACATCATAGCATAACCACAATTCAACCGTTGGCATTCTAGATGCCAATCATAGCTGGATTTTCCTCACCTAAAACATCTATAATTGCACGGTGAGAAAAGAAAACATCTATATGTAAAGCACACAAGGAAAACCCACCACATAATCTCATCATAGCTATATCAATCATGCATCATATTCACATCATAACTCGCAATCACACCAATTCATCACAAATTTTGCAATTATCATTATCATTTTCACATCCATAATTCACACAAATCTTACAATTAACACTATGACAAAGCCACACCACAATTGACATAAGTGATATGGGTT